GCAACCTTACATATAGATTGTGAAGCTCACCTTCACCAATAAGATAGTCGAAGCAACCATCACTGCTAAGATTGTGAAGCAACCATCACACTAAGATGGTGAAAGCAACCATAACCGCCTTAGGTGAGTGAAGCAAACCATTCACCGTAAGGTGGGTGAAGCAAACATCACCGCTAAGGTGGTGAAGAACCATCACGCTAAGTGGTGAAGCAACCATCACCGCTAAGGTGGTGAAGCAACCATAACCGCTAAGGTGGTGTGGGAAGCAACCTTCACGCTTAGGTGGTGAAGCAACACATCACGCTAAAGGTGGTTGAGCAACTTCCAACCGTAAGGTGGTGAATGTGAAAGCAACAATCACCGCATAAGGTGGTGAAGCAAACCATCACCGCTAAGGTGGTGAAAGGCAACCATCACCGCTAGGTGGGGAAGCAACATCACCGCTAAGGTGCGTGAAGGCAACCATCACTGTTAGGTGGTGATGGCAACCATCAATGCCTAAGGTGAGCAACAATCACTGCTAAGGTGATGCATAACCATCACTGGCTTAAGGTGGTGATGCAACCATCACTGCTAGCGTGGTGATGAAGCAACAATCATGCTAAGGTGGTGAAAGCAACCATCATGCTAAGGTGGTGTAGCAAAAACCTCACTGCTAAGGTGTGTGAAGCAACTTCACTGCTAAGGTGGTGAAGCACCATCACTGCTAAGGTGGTTGAAAGCAAACCATCACTTGCTAAGGTGGTGATGCAACCATCTCTGCTAAGGTGTAGTGAAGCATCCATCACTGTAAGGTGCGTGAAGCAACCATCACATGATAAGGTGGTGTGGGACAGCAACCATCAAATGCTAAGGTGGTGAAGCAAAACATCACTGCTAAGATGGTGAAGCAACCTTCACTGCTTAAGAGGTTAGTAGCAACCATCACTGCTGAAGATGGTGTGAAGAACATAACTGCTTAAGATGGTGTGAAGCATCCCATCACTGCTAAGGATGGTGAAGGCACCACCATTCTTGCTAAGCGATGGTTGAAGCAACCATCACTGCTAAGATGGTGAAGCAGAACCATCACTGCTAAGGATGGTGAATGAAGCAACCATCATGCTAAGATGAAGCAACCATCACTGCTAAGATGGTGTATTGAAGCAACCATCACTGAGCTACGTTGGTGACAGCAACCATCTATGCTTAAGATGGTGATAAGAACATCGCACTGCTATGATTGTGAAGCAACCATCACTGCCTAATGATGGTGCAAAGCAACCTTCATGCGTAGATGGTGAAGCAACCCATCACTGCTAAGATTGGTTGAAGCAAATACATCACTGCTTAGATGGTGATGAAGCTACAATCACTGCTTTGATGGTGATGGCAACCATCTCCTGCTTAAGGTGATGGTTTTATGGCACGTGAGCTCAACCATCACTGCTAAGATGGATTGAAGCAACCATCACTGCTAAGTTGGTGAAGAAATCCTCAATGCTTAAGATGGTGAAAGACAGTCACTCTGATAAGATGGTGAAGCAGCCATCACTGATAAGATGGTTGAAGCAGCCATCATTGCTTAGATGGTGAAAGCCTGCCCCTTCATGCTAAGTTGTGAAGCAACAATCCACTGCTTAGATGGTGTAAGCAAACCATCACTTGCTAAGATGGTGATGCACCTTCACCTGCTATGTTGTTTGAAAGCCAAATCATCACTGCTATGATGGTGAAGCAATCATGATGTATAGATGGGTGTGAAGCAACAATCACTGATAGTGGTTCGAAGTCAGCCCTTTCAATGCTAAGATGTGAAGCAGACATCAACTGATGATAGAAGGTGAAGCTACCATCACTGCTAAGATGGTGTTGCAGCCATCACTCGCTAATGATGGTGAAAAGCAACCCATCATTGGCTAAGATGGTGAAGCAACCATCACTGCTTAGATGGTGATAGAAACCAATCACTGTAAGTTGGTGAAGCAATTCATCACTGCTATGATGGTGAAGCTATCATGATGCTAGTTGGCTAGTGATGCATACTATCCAGCTGATAAGATGTGAAGAAACCATCAACTGTAAAGAATGTGAAGCAACCATCTGCTTAAGATGGTGAAGCAACCATCACTGTAAGATGGGTGAAGCAGCCAATCACCACTAAGATGGTGAAGCATCATCACCACCTAAGATGGTGAAGCAACCACTCACCATATGATAGTGATGCAACCATCACCACTAAGATGGTGAAGCAACCATTCACTGCTAAGATGGTGTGAAGCAACCATCACTGCTTAAGATGGTGATGGCAACCATCACCACTAAGAGAGTGAAGCAAACCATACCACTAAAGATGGTTGATGATGCAACCATACCATATGATGTGAAGCAACCATACACCACTAAGATGGTGAGCAAACATCACCACTAGATGGTGAAGCAACCATCACCATAAGATAGTGAAGCAACACTTCACCACTTAGATGGTGGAAGCAATAGGGCGTGTAACCATCAACCACTAAGATGTGAAGCAACCATCACACTAAGATGGTGAAGCAACCATCACCACTAAGATGGTGAAGCAACCATCACCACTAAGATAACGAAGGAACCATCACCACTAAGATATCGAAGGAACACCTCACGCAATAACTTAGTGAAGCAACATCACGCTAAGGTAAGCTAATGTAACATTCTCTGGTAAGATAGTGGGGCAACCATCACTGGTAAGATAGTGACAGCAACCATCACTGCTAAGATGGTGAAGCAACCATCACCACTAAGATGGTGAAGCAACCATCACCACTAAGATAACGAAGGAACCATCACTGCTAAGATAGTGAAGCAACCATCACTGCTAAGGTAGCAAAGTAACCATCACTGGTAAGACAGTGAAGCGACCATCACTGGTAAGACAGTGAAGCGACCATCACAAGTAAGATAGTGAAACAATGATCACCAGTAAGATAGTGAAACAGTGATCATTAAGATTGTGAAGCAGTGGTCAGTAAGATAGTGAGAGTTTACTCTGCCATGTTTTTGTATTTTTTCTGGCAAATATTTGGGTAAAGATTATAATGATTGTGTTAATTTTTTTGCTTTAAAATCGAATTAAATTTTGGTGGGAATTGGCCAATTTACTGATATCCAGAGCAGGAGAGTTAGAGAAAGATATAAGCAGCTGTTGAGAGAAAGATAGGCTAGAGAGAGTACAGGAGGGCCCCACTTATACAGCAGGTTAGGTTCTGGCCTACTGCTGTAAAGTGAGATATGGACGTTTCCTGCCTGCCTTCCTTCCTCTCTTCTTTTTTTTCTCACTTTCAAATGCATATCCTACCATCCGACTTACGACCTGCTCGACATACGACCACTCGACTTACGACCGTGTTTTTTTATGCCAAATTTCTGGGAAATAAACAACTATTTGTGTTGTACACAGTGTTTATCCTAAACCTTACAGTATAAAATATAGTACTAATAGCATAAAAAGTAAAGTAGAACATGAAATACCAAAATAAAACAATAAAGTTCAACTTACGTCCATTTCGACTTAGGACCGGTTTCTCAGAACCGAACTCGATCGTATTTCGGATGGTAGATGTAAAAGCCTGATAACATGTTTGCAATATCATATATTAATTGAGCAATAAAGCTAGGCCTACAACATGCATATGCAGTACACACATTACTTCTTCTTCTTTCTTTCAACACACCGGCCGTATCCCACCAAGGCGGGGTGGCCCAAAAGGAAAAACGAAAGTTTCTCCTTTTACATTTAGTAATATATACAGGAGAAGAGGTTTACTAGCCCCTTGCTCCCGGCATTTAGTCGCCTCTTACAACACGCATGGCTTACGGAGGAAGAATTCTGTTCCACTTCCCCATGGAGATAAGAGGAAATAAACAAGAATAAGAACTAGAAAGAAAATAGAAGAAAACCCAGAGGGGTGTGTATATATGTGCTTGTACATGTATGTGTAGTGTGACCTAAGTGTAAGTAGAAGTAGCAAGACGTACCTGAAATCTTGCATGTTCATGAGACAGAAAAAAGGACACCAGCAATCCTACCATCATGTAAAACAATTACAGGCTTTCGTTTTACACTCACTTGGCAGGACGGTAGTACCTCCCTGGGCGGTTGCTGTCTACCAACCTACTACCTATAACACACATTACTTACCTGAAAATATTTTCATAGCATAATTATAGTGAGTGGTGAATATATTTATTGTATTAAGCATGAATCAGTGAATAATGGGTAGAATTGAAAACCACTGCATTAGCAATATGCTTTAAAGCAAAGCACTGTATAGGTATTGAGAGGTCAAAGAGGAATGGAGTAAATTCATGAATACACTGCTAGAGGTAACAACAGAAGTGTGTCAGTATAGGAGTGTGATTAGAGAAGTGATTAGTGTAATGATGAGGTAAAAATGGTGGTAAAGGAGAAAATTTAGTGTAGGAAAGTCTGTACATTATAGAGGTGATGGGTAAGACACATGCACAGCTCATCTTGGTTAATGAAATTTTTCACCTACTTAGCAAGTTTCCTTGAGTTGAATACACAGATGAATTACTGTCCTTGAGACATTCAAAGAAATGGAGAGGTAGTCTGGGGTAATCAGTCCCTCATATGTTGCTGTTCGGAGGCTCATTTGAATTGTGATATCTACACACTTTTGGCAGAACTACTGTTCAATAAACAGATAACCTGCACATAGGAGAAAGAAACTTATGACTCCATTTCGGTCCAACTGGGACCTGTCTGTGACTATTTAATGGTCCAAGTCAGACCGAAACGTCATCATAAATTTCTTTCTCTTGTGTGTGGGGTTATTTGTGCATTCCTGTTATGATATTGTGCCTTTTTATTTACTGTTGAATGAATGAAGGCGAAAGTGTTTTATTTTTTGGCCACCCTGCCCAGCTGTGAGACTGCCAGTATGATTAAAAAATTGCCAATATAAAAATTTTGTATATTACTTTTGTTTCTTTTAATTGATTTTTTTTTTATTTTACAGTTTCAGAGACATGGAAGTCGCACATCACAAGAGCGATTTGTAAAGCCCATTGCCCCTCCCCCAAGTAGTTCTGCTCTACTGGCCACCCCAACCTCTCATCACCCTACATCTAGCACATCAGGATCATCTAACTCTACTCCTCCACATCACCCTCCACTTGTGCCAGCGCCCCAGCTGCCTTCATCTCCACATCCAGTGGCTCCACCATCCCCCATGGATGTGAGCCGCAACTGATTGAGAAGCCTCTGGGTCAGCACTGAGGTTCCTGTGGGGTTTCTGGAAAAGTTGCTAGCAGCCTTTCCGTAGGATTTCTAGAAAGGCTGCTAGCTGACTTTTTTTGCCTTGGTAGACTTGGAGTTTTTCTCCATATTGGTGAGTCTTGATGGTCATATTTGTTGTGAAAAATGTGATATCATGTTACTGACATGGGCGAGAAAACCAGAGCTGCAAAGATGGTGGTCGTAGCTTGAACTAAACTGAACAATATATGCCACAATTTTCTGAGAAAAAGTTGCATAACTGGATTCTTGTATTGTTGAGGTAGTTGCAGTTGCTTTGTGGCAATTATTGGAGTTTGTTGAGCCAATTATGTGATATATTTGAGAATATGATAAAGTGAGTAAGAGTCAGATGAGAAGATTATAGAAGGAAATGAAAAATCTGTGGTAGCATAGTAGTTTTTAGGCATCTATAAATAAAGTGCTACATGCCCTCCCTCTGTCGATTGTGATATCAAAACTACCGATGTGTTGGGTTAATATTCAATGCTGTCTTAAGTAGACGTTTGTGCTGACTTGTTCTACTTGAAAGAGGTGTCACTTGCTGTCTTAAGTAGACATTTGTGCTGACTTGTTCTGCATTAAGGAGGTGTCACTCATGCTTCATTTGATCTTGACACAGTTGATTCTACTTGACTTTTTATACATTAACTCATTTATGCACAACAATGTTAATGGAATTGGTAGAGGTATGTTATCTTGTTAGTATTGGTCTAGTTAACTGTGACATGGTTAATGGAAGTCATGGTGTATACAGTCACACCCACAAATCATGCAATTCCATTGCCCAACATATTTACTGATGGGCAACTCACAAGTACTGTATGTTTCATTATTCACTAATTTTTTAATTTAGTTTGTTATAGTGTGGCCCTTAAATTAAAAACTAGACACAGAATTTCATTCCCAATATTTATGATGGGCTTCCCATGCCTAAATCTTTCCTTTTTCGGTCATTCTTTCTTATGAATGTCAACATTAATGAGGTTTAAGCAATAATATGGAAAAAGATTTGGTATCTAAAACTCAGAACAAACTCAAATCTGAGAAAAATTTATGCGAATATAATTTATTCTTTGGTCTAGCAGAGTTGCTTGACCTGGGAATGTGACCCAAAGTAATTTGTGAATGTGACTGTTCTTTTTGATACTGCGTCTCCTTGTTATTTATTAAGACACAAGAAGAATGGTAATCTGATGCATCGAGTGATATTATGTTTTGGTTTGTTGTTTCTTCTCCATTTATAAATTTTACCGTTTATGCAATTAGCTATAAATGTTGAGTATGAACTGACATAGCTCAGTGTAATGCACTCTTCAGGGCTATGGTAGGCTCATTATTGTTTCAATTATTAATTGCTGTTTGATGCAAGAATTATAATTTTGAGTCAATACGCTTTTTATTGAACTCGGATTGTACAGCATTTTCAATGTAATGGAGTGATTGGGACTCCACCTTGTGGTCTGAAAATTACCATCTTATCACACTACCCACTCAACTACAGAGAAGACCACCAGAATACTGGCTTAAATCCCAGTCACTCTACTAAACTGTTCACACTTGTTCGTTAGAAATTTTCAGCACATGTACAGCATACGTTTAGAGAAGAGTGAGAGAAAAAAGTCATTATTTCTGACATGGTACTCTCATATCTTCATATAAGTTTAAATATTTTGCAGTAGAAACCTGCTTATATGGGTAGCACCATACGTTATTCTCATTACTGTTCTTGGAGTTAATAAAAAGCATTGCCTATATTTTTGGACACTGCAGTGGGATATAGCAGCTGGCTTTGCATGTTTACAAAGACTTAACAACAGAGTACAGGAGGTCTCCAAGGTACACACTCTTCAAGTTACATACAACCACACTTAAAGACACAGCACTTAGGAACCACGTACAGTTTTCGCAGCCATCAGTCTGTTGTTGTAAATGGTGTGGTGATGACAATAGGCTCTGAATGAAGACACTTGTGTATAGTTGATGACATTAAGGGAAATACTTCACCTTGAATGGCTTAATAAGGACTGATGAAGCCACTTGTGGCAAATTGTTTCTTATTATAAATGTCTGGAACTGTACACAAGTGTCTCTACCCACATGCAACTGTAGTGCAAGCATGTGTAAAACATCTTCTCTACTATTGTTTTCTATTGTTCGCAAGATTGAAACACCACCGAGACAACTTGTTTTGTGAAGTTGAAACACCACAGACACAACTTCTTCATAAATTGAAACACTGGGGAGACCAGTTGTATGTTGGGAACCTCCTGTATAATTTTGTTAAAAAATTGAAGTTGAACCTATTAACCTGTGGAATAAAATACTGCATGAGAGTTCAGTGACTTTGTCTTTTTTTTTTTTTTTAAATAATTTTGTAAATAAAATGGCAAATTTATTTTACCAGTAATTGTTCATGCAAATAATAATGAAATTATGCATTTGTGTGTGCATGCTTGCTCACGTTTCAGTAAATATGTTAAATGATTGAACAATCCTGCATGTAATGTCTGTACATAGTTACATTTTTTGTTTCTTTGAATCTGTATAGAAGGATGTGAGTCTTAACTCTAGGTTCCTTAAGAAGAATACCTTGATATTAGTAAAGGGCTCTTCATTCAAGGAACTGGAGCCATCAGCCCATCCCTATGATCAAACTTAATTGCCTTCCACTCCCCCAGGCACTGTAGAACCTCTGGGGTTTAGTGCTTCATTATAAATGTACAGTAAACCCTCTATATTATGGACTCATGGGGGTGTCTGTTATATCAAAATAACATTAAAAAAAATATCAATAAAAAGTACTTAAGTACTCTAATGTGCACCTACTCCTCTTCAATGAAGGGGGGGGGGCTTCTTCATGCAGTGAAGAGGGTTGACCTCTTCAAGGGGGGCTCCTTGGCGTGGTGAAGAGGCTCTTGGTCTGAGGAATTAGCCCTGTCGGTCTTCTTCCTCAGACCAAACCTAATTACCCCCCATTCTCCCCTCCCCTATCCCATCCTCCCCTTTTTCCATTCCTCCTCCTCACCCCTCCCTTTTGCCCTTCCTCTTTTTGGCCTTTGGGATTTCTCCCACAGGTGCGCTAGTTCCTAGGTAGGGGAAAGGACACCGGGGTCCATCCCATTCCGTTGAGGTTCTTGGCGGTGGCGTAGTTTGCCGTGGAATCTGGATTGCCTGGGGATGTCCCGATCCCTCTCCGGTATCCCGGAGTAGCTTTGGGTGTCTTTCGGGCGACGGGTGTATCTCTGGAAGCCACCTTTCGGATTCCGGGGGTGGTGGCCGAAGGAGGTATGCTTTGTGGCGGATATCCGGCCGCCCTCTCTTTTGTCCACTGAGGTAGCTCGGCAGATGTGAGGTTGCTATCCCGGATTGCTGGGTTTTACTGCATGAAGGGTAGGGTATGGCATGGGTTCCATGCTGCATCTGCGTTACTAGCGGTGTTGAGGTCCTCTTGGGCGCGGAGGGAGATTTCCGGCCCTTTCATTCCTCCTGGGAACTATTCCTCCCCGCTCCCCCCTTTTTTTATTCTTTTTTTTATTTTTATTTTCTTTTCTTCTTTCTTTTTTTTCTTAAAAACAAAAAGCAAAGGAGTAACCTAACCATGGCAGCCCTAGTCCATGAACCCAATACCCCCGGGCCCCTTCTTGATACCGCACCCCATTCTGACCCTGCCTTGTGTTAGACCACTCTTCGGACACTCCTGATGCCCCTGTTACCTCTTGCTGGTGCTGTTTCCTCACCTGCTTCAGGTACCGGGGCTTCGACTGACTCCTTCGATTTGTCTGAACTCCGCTCTCCTTTGACTATGCTTCCGGCTTCTCCCTCTACAGTACGGCAATTTTCGAATCGCCCACCCATTTCACGCCGGACCAACTCCGGTCCTACTCCTAAACGCCAACGTCAATCTCCTGATGATGCTCCTTCGTTACCTTCCCATTCTACTCGGAAAAGACCGACACGTCAAGCACTCCCTCTCCACGCTCAGTTTCGGACCACACAATGGACTAAATTCTTTACTTTAAGACCGACTTCTTCTTCTGCCTACCTTTCTGACCATAGTATTGGCAAAGCGCTCCTGCATCATGTTGGTAGAGATATCCTCTTCAAGGGGGGCTCCTTGGCGTGGTGAAGAGGCTCTTGGTCTGAGGAATTAGACCTATCGGTCTTCTTCCTCAGACCGAACCTAATTACCCCCCAATCTCCCCTCCCCTATCCCATCCTCCCCATCCTCCCCTTTTTCCTTTCCTCCTCATCCTCCCACTCCTCCCTTTTGCCCTTCTCTTTTGTCCTTGGATATTCTCCCACAGGCGCGCTAGTTCCCTAGGTAGGGGAAAGGACAAACGGGGTCCCGATCCCATTCCGTGAGGTTTCCTATTGGCGGTGGCTAGTTTGCCGTGAATCGATTGCCTAGGTATGTCCCGATCCCACTCCGTATCCCGGAGTACTTTGGTGTCTTTTATGGGCGAGGGTGTATCTCTGGAAGCCACCTTTCGGATTCCGGGCGGGGCTGAAGGAGGTTATGCTTTGTGGCGGATATCCCTGGCCGCCCTCTCCTTTTGCCACCTAGGTAGCCTCGGCAGATGTGAGGGTTTGCTATCCCAGATTGCTGGTTTACAGGCATGAAGGGTAGGTATGGCACGGGTTCCATGCTGAATCTGCGCTAACTAAGTGGGCGGTGTCGAGTCCTCTTGGGGCGCGGAGGGAGATTTCTGGGCCCTTTTCATTCCTCTAGAACTATCCCCCCCCGGTCCCTCCCTTTTTTTTTTTCTTTTTTATTTTTATTTTCTTTTCTTCTTTCTTTTTTTTTCTTAAAAACAAAAAAAGAAAGAAGTAACCTAACATGGCAGCCCTAGTCCATGAACCGGTACCCCCGGCCACCTTCTTGATACAGCACCCCGTTCTGGACCCCGCCTCGTCTTTGGGACCACTCTTCAGACAATTCCTCATGCCCTCTGTACCTAGTGCCGTGTGTTTCCTCACCAGCTTCAGGTACTGAGGCCTCGACATGACTCTCCTTCGATTATCAGACCTTCGCCTCCTCGACGTATGCTCCGGCCTCTCCCTCTTTACGGTGCGGCAATTTTCAAATCGCCGACCCGTTCCAACGTCGACCAACTCTGTCCCACGCCTAAACGTCAACGACAATTTACCTGCTGATGATACTTCTCACCTTCACCTTCCGGTTCTTCTCAGAAACGATCGACACGTCCTTCACTACCTTTCCACGCTCAGTTTTCAGACTGAACAGGACGAAATTCTCCACTTTACACCAACTCCTCTACTGCCTATCTTTTGACCATAGTATTGGCAAGCACTCTCTACGCCATGTTGGTAAGATAGTTCTTTCAATGCGCTTAAGAGCGTACGCGCATCATTACTGTAAAGGGGGGGGGGGGGGGGGAAGAAATGCTTTACCCAGCCGTGAGCCTCTCGTCCTTTCCCATATTGAGTACTGTTCCTGTCACTCCTTGAAAACATCATTCCCCTCAATTCTTGTAGTGGACCGTTATTCCAGGTGCCCCATACCATAGTTCAAACAAAATTTCCAGACCTGTGGCAACCGACATATCTAGAACAGCTTGGAACCTCCAAGATCTCCTCCCAATCCTCAAGGTAGACACATACATTCTTCCTGCCCCGTGGGGCAGACGATAACCTAGCAATGTGGCTCGTTTAACTTTTGACAGCCGAGAACTCCCATCCTCAGTTTAATTATCCAGGACATCGGTACAAGTTGAAAGGTGATCCCTACACACAACAGTGTAGAAATGCTGGCGATTTGCCATCCAGCGACTATTGCAGATCTATCGCCGAATGCCCAGTCTGTGGTGCTCGATGACCATCAATTACGTCTGCAATCGATCTCCCTCTGCCTAACTGGCCATGAGGCTCACCTTCGTACTCTCGCAGTTGTCAGGTCTATTTAAACGAGCGGGAAATCCGTTACCTCAAAAGACAGAGGTCTCCCTAAGCCATGCATTGACTCATCTCCGCCTCCAAGGAGACTCCCACGTTTCCTATTCCCGTGTTTCAAACGTCCCTCCCCACTTTCTGGTATCCATCTTCTACACCCACCTCGGTTACCTCTCCCAAATCCACTCCAGTATCTAATCCTTTTGGCTGTCCCTCGGCTCGGACGTCCCTACTTCAACAACGCCTCAGTCTAATCACGCTTCCTTTCGAGTTCTCTCTTACAAGCTCAGTATCGACGGACCTCGTACGACAACCTCTTCCCCCCAACGTCCCTCTACTTCTCAAAGTCAAAAAAAAGGGTCCGGTAACACCTCCCTCCTACCCATCTTCCACCTCCTCATTTTACCCTCCCTGTCTCATCTCTGTCCCCTAGTTCTTCCCCTCTCAGCTGGCTCAGTTTTTACAAGTGCAGAGGTTT